CTTCTACCCGCCCGCCCCGCCCCGGTGGCAGGAAGCAGGTAAGCCGCCCGCCCCAGCCCGCGCTCCGCCGCCCTGGGGTACCAACAACCTTTCTACCCCTCTGAACGGGGAAGAGGGCTCCGTCCTCGGTGCCCAGGAGGGACAGGGCGAAGACAGGCCTCCCTGACCTGCCCTAGCCTTTGGGGCACCTGGAGGGATGCTGGCCTCAACTTTCTCCGGGAAGAACCTCAGGGTGGAGCCCGAGGCCATATCTGCTTGGCCCTTGTGCCCCGCTGAGACCTTTGCTTCTTGCTTTTTGGTTTATTTTTGAGACAGGGTCTCCCTGTGTAGTTCAGACTGGCCTTAACTCACTGTGTAGTGCAGCCGGGCCTCGAACTCATGATGATCCTCCTGCCTCACCCTCCGGAGTTCTGGGATTATAGGCGTGCACCGCCACGCCTAGCTGACCTTTGCTTCTTGGACTCCCTCAGTCAAGTCCCTGGAAATCTGCACTCTCTGTCTTTAGCGGCCTGAAGGGACAGCTTCCTAGCCTTGCCCACTTGCTAGGTGAACAATATACTTCTGCCTGCTTCGGGCCTCCTATTTCCTGCTCCTGTCCCCACTTTAAGGGGGTCATGCCGCCCTACAGCCTCCAGGAACTCTACCAGAGCACGGGCCTCAGGAGGGGTCTCTTTCATTTGTAAAGCGCCCTCCTCTCTTACCTCCTGGCAGATGTCCTCAGGCTCTGCCCATCCTTCCTGTGAAGCGATGATGTGGGTGCTGCTCTTGCTCCCTAAACTCAGTAGGAGTTTAGCCCTCCACCCAAATCAATCTGGGCACACAGTAGGTGCTTCACAACTGCTGCTTAATGGAAGACCAGAGAGCCGTACTGGATAACAGTATATAAATGCTCTTGTCCTTGCCAGCCAAGCCTCTGAAGCACAGGCCACTGGGGTGGGATGAGGGTGGGGGGCTCTGGAGGGCCCCACCAGCTCTCTGCACTTCGTTAGTTTCAGCTCCATTGCACACTCCTTGAGCACCTACTGAGTGAGGGTGCATAGACCGGGCACTTTTCGAAGGCAGCACCTTGGCCTCAGACAGTTCCATCTTCTCTGTCCAGCACAGGGCCTGGTACCTACAGGCCACTCACCGGAAGCTGGCTGCCTCTCCACTGCATGAAGGGAGAGCCGTGCAGGTCCCACAGCTGGGGAGGGAGGCAACCCAGCAGCTGCTGCAGGAAAGCCCACCTGAGCAGAAGCCTGCCTGTCTGCAGGAAGCTAGGAGACCCCAGGGTCAAAGGCTCTGGCCGGAGTTGTCTTTTCCCCAACCAGAAGGTGACTGGCCAGTGATTTGGGGGAAGGGATTCTAGAGGAGGGCAGGGCTTTGGGACACTGATGGGGGGACACACCATGGTGTGGTATAGACCTGGCTTCCTAAACTGGTACTCTGTTTGGAATGTCCGGGTTTTGGTCCTGGCCTCCCACCTTCCCCACTGGCCAGAGAACTTCGTTGGGGCTTGGTTTTCCATCTCTGCAATGGGTAGACACCTAGTGGGTGTGGCGAGAAGAAACTGAAAATTCCCAAGTCAGCTACTTGATCCCAGGTGCCACCCCTTGTGAGTCTCTTGTGAGGTCACTGGACTCCATGGTGCTCCTGCTCTGTTCCAGCTTTCTTGCCAGTATCACACTGGGCTTGAGCATGTCCAGGTGCTCTGCTGGCCTGAAGGTTCTTGAGGGCAAGGTCTGGGTTACACCTGTGTCCCTCCTGGTCTGGCCCAGGGCAGAGCTGTGGGCTGTAGCGGCAAACAACCGGAGTCCACTAACAGGGTGCTCACACTCAACCTCCTCACTGCACCCTGATCTAGGCTGCTCTGCAGCTAGACCCAGGGGACTTCTGGGATTCAGTTGGGTGGGGCTGCTGTACCTCTTGGCTGAGTGACCCGTGTACCTTAGGGCCTCCCTTGTCACACTCATGTGTTGAATCATAGATGGCTGGAAGCCTGAAAGGTTGGATCACAGGCTATTCTTAGGAAGGATGTTGCAATCAGAGCTTGACAGGCCCAGGACTTTCGATACCTGAATGTTGGGATTGGCTCTTTAGAATTGTGGGTGCAGAGGGGAGCCTTAGAGGTCACCAGCTGACCCTCCCTTCCTCAACCAAGGGGCTTGTTGATTTGGTGGATCTTCACCACGCCAGTCTCTTCTGGGGAGGATGTGGGTCTTATCTGGCTCATGCTGAGTCCTTTGGAACCCATTGTCATAATCATGGGACCTCAGAAGACCTGAATGGCAAAGGAGGATGTAGTGTCCATGGACACTTAATCTGCAAGGATAGAGCAGGACGGTGTGAACGAAGCTGGCCTGCCCAGATCTGGCTGTCACTAGCTAAGTGATCTTGGGCAAGACAGTCTCCCTCTCAGCCCTGGCATCCTCCTCGGGAGGATGGGCCCGGGGCGGGGGATGGGTGAGTGTGTGTGTGTGTGTGTGTGTGTGTGGATTAAATGAATAAAGCTGTTATGCTTTGTGTCTTGATGTCCTCTTCAAAGCCTCATGCAGTCATAGGTGGGGCTTTTTCTAAAATTGATTCATGGTGCAATGCTAGGCTCAAGGGCACTACAATTGAGGGTGTGAGCGCTACTCGCCCTAAATCATCTGCATAAAAGGGCAGAAAGTCTGTTGAGGGCCCCTCCTCCTCCCTTGTTGGATTTGCTGTCTTCTGCTTGCCATGAATTTCTCTGAATGCCCCTCTGCCAAGCCACCCTGCCTTGGAGCCAGCTGATTATGGACTGAAGCCTCTACAAACTGTGAGGTAAATAAACCTTTCTCTCTTTAATTTTGGGTGTCAGGTATTTTGTCTCAGCAATGAGAAAATGAAGGCAAAGGCATAAGATGCTTAGAAAAGTACCTGCGATTGTTCCTTGTTTACCCATTATTCAGCCCACAAGAAGTCAGGAATGGAAAGACCCTTAACCCGCGTTCCCACCTCAGCTATGCTCAGAATGTGTCTGGGTTACCTGGGACAAAGGGACTTACTGCCACGTGCCTTAGCTTGCCCTCTAGTGAGATATTTGTCCCTACTTTATACATGAGCACACCTAGGCTCCTGGCCCAGTTCCCCAGCTGGCTAAGTAGTGGAGGCCAGGCCAGCAGGCAGATCTGACGGTCCTCAAGCTGTTTCCCTTCCCACTGTGACAGAAAGCACTGCCAGGAATGTCATCAATTCCCCCATTTTAACCCATGGCCACTGGGAAGGGCCCAGCAGCCTTGGCACAGATTTGTCTGTGAAAACTTGTCACACCCCGGGTAGCTCCTGCTAGTGAAGCCTGAGCAGGATGTGGGCAGGGCAGCCAGCGGCGATGCTGAGGTGGTGGCAGCAGTCAACACCTCATCTCAGGCGGGCTGACACTGCCATTCTGCGGCCATATTGGCACTGCCCTCCCAGTGGAGGCTTCCAAATGGAGCAGCTGCAGCAGGTGTACTTTCTGGGGCTCTGAAGCTCCCTTGGCCCCTCCCCAAGCCAACAGGAGTTTCCCAAAGGCCTGGCGCAGGGCTGAGGCATCGTCCTGGTGGCCCTGGACCCCAGCCCAGAGGAGCACAGGCCAGGCAGGCAGAAGGCTGGTGGTGGTGAGGGGTGGCTGGAAGGTAGGAGCAATGCACCACCACAGTGGACACCACTTCCTGAGACTGCTGGTCCCCACTCTGCCCTGCATGAGTAACCTCCAGTACTTCACAGAGCCTCAGCTCTGCATTTTCAGTGTGGTTCTGTGCGTTAACAGGGAGCTGCCTAGAGATGCAGCTTTGGGTCAGGCCAGGCCCCCCATGTCTGCTCGTTGGGCAGGGCTGGCTGGGATCTAGAGAGATAAGGGGAAGGCACAGGTGGGCTCCCCAGGCCAGCAGAGGCTTCTGCGATGCTTCTGGCTTCCTCAAACACACAAGCATGGCGTGCTGCAGTTATTAAAAAATAAACAGCTGGCCCTGGCTGAAGAAGTAGAGATGGACATGTGGCTTTGAGGTCTGGGAAGTCCCAACGCTCTCAGCATGGTGGTGGTGGTCACCTTTCAAGGGGGAGAGAATGCAGCTCCCCAGGGGAGCCCAGCCTGACCCCACCTTCAGACCTGTCTGAATCAACAGCTTTTGGGAAGGTCAGGGTGTGCATGGTACAGGGCTGTTCAGGCACAAGGACGCTGGGTTAGGCTGAGGGACTGTAGCAGCCTGAGCCCTTTTGCCCAGAACTCTTAAGGGCCTTACCCCATACCTTTCAGACAAGGAACTAAACAAAGACCAGAAAGGGAAGCACTTTGCTCTGTCACACAGCACCCAGACTCCAAACTCAGCAGTCAGAGACGAGACAACCCTAGGTGGGCACTCTGCAGGGAACAGGATGCAGTCACAGTGGGTACATCTGGTCCTTTAGCCAACCTGGAGAAGCCCTCACCCTGCACCTACAGTGTGGCTAGCAAGGGGCCCTTCATCTGCTGGGGAGCGGGAGAGTTGGGCTACTCTCCAGCAGGCACCGACAGTATCCATGGAAGGGTCTGGAGGCGAGCCCAGACCCGGAAACACATTAGGCGGGCTGAAAATGGTTAAACGCACTCTGCAGGGGCTTTAAGGGGCACATCTGTATCTGCCTAGAGGCGGAATGGTGGGCAGCCTCCCTCCCCAGAGCAGGAGCAGCAGTACGGGGCTGGCTTTTCCTCTGCACTAGCTCCCAGCTTTGCTCTGATGGTCTGCGTGGCCCCTCCACTCTGCTCCTGCCCTGGCATGGCCCCAGCCACCAGAGAAAACTGAGCCAGGACTGGGGGGCCCAGCTCAGGGTTCCTGGCGTCCTGACTCAGGCTGCTTCCTGGGAGTGGCCTTGGGGAAGCTGGGGCCCAGGGGCCTCCAGTGGTGCAGCAGTGGTTATGTTCTGAGGTCACAGGAGGGGGTGGTGTCTGAGTAGCCAGGCGCCCCAAGTGCCGCAGCAGCTGCAGCCCCTCACTTCCAGCCGGGGTGGCTCGGGGCCCTCTGGTGACTCAGCAGCCGCCACAGCCCCTACATAGGGCCTCTTTTGGTGCAGGGTGGGGTGGGAATGGGGAGAGGCCTGATCCCCCAAGGTGGCAGGAAAGGGGTCTGCAGGGCTGCCCCCAGGACCCCACCTGTCTCCCCCAACATCAGGAGGGCCAGAGAGCAGCTGGTCCAGGAAAAAGGATGTTTTATTTTCATAAATACTCCTGCTCTCACACACCGACCCCACTTCTGACCACCGACAGACAGATGTGAGATGATGCCCATATGAGGCCCTGGGAGGGCCGATGACCGGAGGAGACACACTGAGAACCCCAGGAGCTCCGCAGCCCCTCGGAGGCCACCTGCTTCTGGCACCACCCTTAGGCTGACAGCAAAGGGAGGCCCCCAAGAGGAGGGGCTGCACGGAGCTCCCCAACATGGCCCCAAGACTGCGGCCCCAGGGCCACTCTGAAAGAAAAGCAGAGAGCCAAAACCACATACCAGAGTGCAAAGAGCTGGGGGCACAGGTAGTACCCCCACAGTACTGGGTTCCTGTACAGGAGGCCGGCTGGTCCCCAGCCCCAGCTCGGCCTATGGCTGGGCCTTCCCATAAGGCATAAGACAGGTGGGGAAGACCCACCCCAGGCCAGGGGTGGGGTGAGGCCTGCCGGCCACGTGTCCTCCCCTCAACCCCAAGTTCTTCCCAGCCCTGCAGCCCCCCTGCTTCTGGCTCCCAGCAGTGTGAACCCAGGCCCAGCCTCCTGCTGGGTTTGGCTCGGCAGGGGAGTGGAGCTTGGGAGGGAGAAGTCACTTGGCAGCCCCAGCAGTGAGGGGAGAAGCACCAGGCCGGGGGTGCATGGCCATGGGGAACAGAGAGTGTCCTAGACCACCACAGCCTCCGCCTAGGCTGGACAGTGACCAGTCCCTCTATCCCCTCCTCTCCCCAGCTCCTTTGTACTAAAGGCTCCCCCAGGTTTCGGGTGGGGGAAACTGGTCCACATCCCCCATCTCGTTGTACGTCTGGTCGCCCATGGTGAAGGTGAGCTTGTAGCGGAGGCGAACCTTCTCCTGGGCAGAGAAGGCGAAGGCAGAGGGTCAGTGAGAGAGGAGGAGAGGAGGAGGATCCCCCACACCGCCTGTCTCAGCCAAGCCCTCACCTTCTGGGGGTTGGCAAGGAGCAGGACCTGGGTGATGGCTGAGGGGTGGACGATGGGGTTGAATGCAGGCAGCTCTGTGCCTGACGGTGGCTGGAGCTTCACCTTCATGACCTGCGGATGGGAGAGCCAGGGGGGCACAGATGGCTTGGCTGCCGTCCCTGCCACTGAGGACCAGATCCAGCCTGCCAGTACCCCTCTGAGGGTCTTGGGGGCTCTGCCCTCTGGATCCCCTGCCTCCCTCTGACCCATCCCCACCCCACCGGCTCCCAAATCCCCCCAAGCCCCAAGTCACCCTGCCCGGACTGGAAGGAAGCACGCCCTGTCTGCCCTGCGGTGTCACCTTGGGGACAGCTGACTGGAAAACGATGTGGCGGATGGGCTGCGGGGCAGTGCTCAGCATGGAAACCACCACCACCAGCACATCCGAGCGTCCAGGCAGTGGGTCTCGGGCGAAGTGGAAGAGGACGCGGAAGCCGTGCTGGTCATACACAGTCACAGGCAAGACGCTGCCTGCCGGGGAAGAGGTGGGAGGGCAGTGGGTGGCCAGCACACTGGGTCTCATGGCGGAAGTGACACCCAGCCTGCAGCCAAAGCACAGCCTGGTTCACTCCTGCACTGGATGTCACGTTCTCAGCATGACCCTGCTACAGTCACTCCCATCCCTGGGTCAGGGTCCTCCTGCTAGTAAGACTAGGAAACTGAGGGTGTGACACCCTGAGTCACAGTGAGGTCAGAGATGGACGATGCCAAGGATCGGCTGGTCCTGTCTGCTCAGAGCTTGTACTAGGCAGGAGATGCCCAGGCCTGTAGCTGGGTCTGTATCACAGTCTGGCTTCAGAATCTCAGGGAGGCCCCAAATCCAGGAGGCGAGGGGACGCAAGCCCGTCTGAAGTCGTCTTGTGTGACTTTGTGTGACCTGGAACAGCTGTGTGAGGAGACTGAGGCTGGGAAGGGGAGGGCTCTTTGGTGGCGGGCCCCTAGGAGGAGGGAGCTGGCTTGCTGTTCCCCACTCACTGGGTTTGATGGACTCCAGGGGCACAGTGACGTTGGCCAGGGAGAGCTCGGTGGGCGCAGGCTGCTGCAGGGGCCCTGGAGGCTCTGGGGACCCGGCATGGAGGAGGCTGGCAGGACCCGAGCTGGGTAAGCTGCAGGTGCTCTTGTTCTGCAGGTCTCGGAGTGTGAGCCGGGGGGCTGGCTGCTGCTTCTCCCTTATTGGGGGACAGTGCATTAAGGGATCCTTCATGTGCTAAGAGACCAGGGCCCAGGAGGTGCTACGCTGTGCTGCCTGGCCCCGGCCCCGGGTCACCATCTCTCTGGCCCTGATCTTTCCCTTGCCCTGCACCGCGCCACAGCCAGTGTCCTCCTCTAGGGTGCTGGACTCCCAGGGGCACTGAGTGGGCATGTCACTTCTGTGCTCTGGGGACTGCTGCTGAGCCTGCCGTCGTCACTTTTTGTCCCCAGAACAAGTGCAGTTCTTGGCACCTAGGGCTCCTGGAACAGCCAGTGACCATCCTGCCCCTGTCAGGGGCTGCTCCTCTGTGGGGACGGGGATGGATTCCACCCTGTGCCACACATGGCAGCCTCACCACCGCACTTGCTGGGCCTCAGGGGGCAACGACTGCTGCAGGAGGGTCTTCCCCAGGAGATCCAGGTCGTCCAGGCCGCTGCTCTGTGCCATGGGCCGGCTATCGGTGCTGGGGGCCTGGGCCGGAGTGGGGCCTGGGGGCTCAGCTCCATCCGAGGACTGCGGGCCAAAGAGAGCAGGTGGGTAGGGCTCTCGGGAAGGAGAGCCACTGGCTGTGCCCTCCCTCCCTGCAAGTGACATGGGAACCTGAGGCTGGGCTGTGGCCCAAGGCCAAGAGGAGGTCAGAAGTACTGGCTGCCTTCCTTTTCCCTGGGGTGGGCATCTTGGTCCCTTAGGGCTCCCCCAGCCCCTCCACCCCTTCACTGTCCCTGACTTGGGGACAGGGATAGGTCAGGCTAGTTCCGTCCTACCTGGAAGCTGTTCCATCCGGCCCCATCCAAACTGGGACCTGCAGCGGGTGTGGGGTCACTCAGGCCTGGGGGGAAAGCAGAGAGAGAGAGGGCTGGAGTGGGGCACTGAGGCAGTGGGGCTGTATGCTGGCTTGCGGTTGCTGGCGTAGCCCCACTTTCTGAGAGGCTCAGCTCAGAGAGGAGAAACTGGGTCCTGACTGCCCATCCTGTTGTCCACGCTCACTTCCCTTCCCTCAGCTTGGTGACAGAGCCAGGACTCAGCTCTGACCCAAGCTGATGGGAGGGAAGGTGGTTCCCAACCTTAAGGTCCAGGCCAACAGGGGTCAGCACTGTGCCCGCCTGATGGCTGACCCACACCTTGGAGAGGGCACTGTGCCAGCTGAGCCTTGATGTCCCCATGTGTATGATGATGAGGTGGACGGAGGGCCCGGGACTGATCTGCTCATCACCCTGCCCACTGCCCCAAGTTCACCCCAGATTAGACCTAGAAAAGATGAGTTATCCAGTTTTTATCAAATGCTGGTGGGTGAGCGCCAGAGGGAATGTTCTCTGGCAGGCAGAGGTGACTGCTAACATCTGTCATGCCCCTGGGGCTGGCAACAGCCACAGCCCACAAACAGGCCGGGCTGTGGATGCAGCTGAGTGGCCAAGGACTCAGTATCACAAAACAGAAACAAAAGGCGAGGAGGAGGAAAGGGATGCAGGCTGAGCTCGTCAGGGTTATGTGACCAGCCCCAGGCCACACAGCAGGAAAGCAGCCAAGTGCAGATGTGCTCAGAGCACAGCCTCACGGCTGGGGTCCGGACACTGCCGAGTCACTCTGCTGAGGCCCAGGCTGACCGCAGGGCCTCCCAGGCCTCAGCCTCACCTCTGAAGTAGAGCTGCAATGGCAGCTACCTCAGAGTACATCCGTGAGGAGCCAGACCCGTCAGCAGAGCACCTGAGGGCAGGCGTGAGCCCTGCTCGCCACCTCTCCTCCGGCCAAGGGAGCACGCAGGACTGGCATCTCTCGTGGCTGGGGGCTCCCTCTGAGCCCCAGGGTGGCTGCAGTTGGCCTGGCCCTTTTGGTTCCTGTTCCCTTACTTACATGACCTTTGAGAAGAAACCAGAAGGAAGCTGGGGGCTCAGGGCTGTGGAAGCAGCCGGGGGCAGGAAGTGCAAAGCACACCTTGCTTCTCCTGCGGGGGTTGGCTCTGCCCCCGCTACTGCTGTCACTTCCCTGTGTACCACAGCCCGCCTGGCACTGCTGGGCAGGATGCGTCCTGGCCTCCCATGGCTTCCTTGCTTTGCCCTGCTCTCTGCCTCTGCGAAATAGGTCGGGGGCTCTCTCCCTCGCCACGCTGGCTTGGAATGAGGCCTCTCAGGCTGGTCAGGGCCACTTCCCGTCTCGCCCTGCTCCATCCAGTCCTGCTTTTCCTTCCTTCAAACAGGATGGGTCAGAGCCGCAGAGTGGCTCAGCAGGCAGTGGCAGACTCACAGCCCCTACTTCACCGCTGGAGCCCGGCTGCCACTGTCCTGTCTATCTACTGGTCACACGGACAGCTCTGCCTTTTTTTTTTGCTGGTTTGTTTGTTACCCGGAATTGAATTTGGGCCCTTGTGCTTGCAAGGCAGGCGGCAAAACCACTGAGCTAAATCCCTGGCCCCAGCTCTGCCTCATGAGGTAGTGGGCAGGATTGTCCGGGGCAAGGTAGGGCACAGGAGCAGCACTGCGTGTGGTGTGGCAGACTGCTGGGCCCCAGGACCCCCATCTCCTCCTGCATACTTGGCAGGCACCCCAGTGCTGCGCCCAACCCCAGCTCCAGGTTCAGTTTCGTTTCAGAAGTGGCTGAGGAGAACGCAGTCATTCAGCCTCCGCACCACCACCACCACCGTCCCTTCAGATTGCTCCGAGCGCCTGCACCTCTCTCTGCTTAACCCAGCTCCATCAAAAGCAGGCCATCTCTTCTTCCCTGCTCTCGGGGACAGGCTGGGCCTGCTTTACTTCTGTGGAATGATGCTGGTCCTCTGCTGAGCTCTGGCACCCCTAGTCTGGGCTGGCCCCAAGCTTCTGAGGGTTTTGGAGTGAAGCTCTTCTCTTCCTCCTCTCAGGCAGAGAAACTGCTAGGCTTTCACCTGGACAGCCCCAACCCTAGTTCCAGTCCTCTGCAGAGAGGTCTCTCAGCTGTCCTGTGTCTGAACCTGAGTGTGGCTGGCTTGTCAGAGGGCAGATCAAGGCTGGCCGGCTCACCCCGACTGTGGGCACTGCCCTGAGCTGCCTTAAGCCTCAGCCCCTCAGCTGTGATGTAGCTAGTGCCCACCCCAAGCCTCTGACGGGTTCATGTCTGAAGCGCCTGTGCTGGTACTCCGCTGTCTGGGAGGGCAAACACATCTGAGCCCCTCCGCTCCCTCCACCCAGCACCTCCTCACCCAGAGACATGAGCTCATCATCAAGCAGGGAAACTGAGGCGCTGGGCTGCTTGGGACTGGCTTGGTCGTCAGGGCGGCTGGGCACGGCCGGGTAGGTGGTACCAGCGGGAGGGAGGTCCAGGCCCGAGAGGTCCAGTAGGGCCGAGGTGCTCCCTGGGGTGGGAAATGACAGTGGGGAAGTCCTGAGTGGCATGTGGCTCTCAGGGTGCTCTGGGTTTTATGGTAATGGCACCCAGCCTCCTGCCCTCCCCGCCAGTCTCCAGCCTCCACATCAGCCTATGTCTGGAACCTGCCCGCTGCGCCCTTTCCACAGCACAGGGGGCGCTTCTGTTTGGAAGGAAGTCACACCCCGATTAATGACAGGGTCATGTTGAGAAACACGTCACTGGCAGGAGCAGAGGGAAGGAGTTCCACAGTGAGGCCGGCAGGACCACTGCTATGAGATCTTGCGGGACCACAGCTCTCTGAGGGCCCTCCCAGACCTCAGCGTTATGGTTGTGCAGGGCACCACTGTATTCCCCGATTGTCCCTTGGCCAATGTCACCCATCCCTGGAGCCCTGCATACGCTCTGCTGCCTCTGTGCAGTGTGCCCGCCTCTCCTCCCCACTAGGGCCACTTCCAGCCTCTTCCGTGATCCCTGGGGCTGCCACTGTGGCCTGATTAGAGCCCAGACTGACATTTTGTGTCCCATCCTCCCTCCTGCTCTGTGATCACTCAATCAAGCACTGGGGTTGTCGTCTAGTCCCACCACAGGTGCCAGATCTGTCAGGTGAAGAAAAGCCTGCCTTCTTCGCCCATCCTCGCCAGCCCCCCGGCCCAGACTTCCTCCTCCACAGCTGCAGGCCTGGCATGCGTTTCAGCTTGGCTCCCTCCTGGGCTAGGGTCACCCTGGCAGTCACGTCACCAGCTCCGGGGCCAGTGTGGCACCCTGAAGCCCACCCCCGCCCCACTGTCTGCACTTTCCTCACCTGGGATGGAGCCAGCTGCGGTGTCGCCGTTGACCTCCTCACCCCGTACCAGCTGCTTGTACAGGTTGATCACCTGGGTAAGGTTGTCATTGGCCTGCAGGATCTCCGCTGCAAAGGCAGGAGGGGAGCGGCTGGCTGGAGACATGTTGGGGCCTCGGGGTGGGAAGACAAACGCCCCATGCAGTCTGGCTCGTGTGCGGGGAAAGGCTGGAGCTGCCCATCTCGTCCACTGAGACCCAGGCCTTCTGTCCCTCCCTCTCACTCACTCCCTCTGCAACGCCGCCTGGCCATCCTGGAGTATCCCAGGCACACTGCCCTTCTGCGCTGCCCCTGGACACCTCTGCATTTCTGCACAGCTTCATCCCCTACTGCTCTCTGGTCTTCAGCTTCTCCATCTGCTTCAGGCCCTCCCTGCCCCGACCCACACTGCCTCTCCCTTCCACCATCTGACAAACTGCCACTGTTTGGTGCTGTGGCTTATTGCCCATCTCCTTTCATGTGCTGCAACCTCGGGGAGGAGGCTTTGGTCACCTGGGATCATGGCCTTATCCCTGAGGGCCCAGCACAGCACCCAGTACAAGGAGTCCTCACATGCTGCCTCCACAGGTGCAAGGGCAGCGAGACCCTTGGTGGGAACCAGGTGCCTGGGCTGTGGGAAGGGCTCCGTGCACTGCTGCAGGAGGGGAGGAGATGCCCACAAGGCTCTGGCAGACAGCAGGCAGAGATAAGGAAAAGGACCTGTGGCCCTGGCAGAAGCCACCAGGATCAGCTCTGGAAGTGCTTCAGCTGCAGGATCCATTCTGGGTTTCCAAAATGTTTTTTTTTTCTTTGTTTACGGTACTGAGGATTGAACCTAAAACCTTAACACTGACCTACATCCTGAGACTATTTTTTATTTTGAGACAGGGTCTTGCTAAGTTGCCCAGGCCAGGCTTGAACTTGTGATCCTCCTGCTTCAGCTTCCCATAGTGCTGGGATTACAGACCTGCACCTTCAGGCTGGGCTTCCAGCTCAATCTTGCCAGGGAGGCAGCAGTGGGAGGCACACAGCCCTCGGTCCACCCTAGCTCCCCTACCATTCTGCCAGGCATTTCCCGCTCTGAGCCCCGGCTGTGATAAGGACACAGTCGTCCTCCTCTGCAGCTGGTGGGCAGTGAGTGAGACGCCTGCTAATGAGTGTGGCTCAGAAGCCTCTTGAGGCAGTAGCAGCCTCTACTCTGCTCCCTCATTTCTACCAGAGAAACCAGTCAGTGCTGGGGAAGGGGGCCCCCTCATGGAGGTTCTCTGCAACTGCAAATGCCCAGGCCGCCGGACAACGCTGAACCCGCCTTGGGCTCACCTAAGGCCTCATCATTGTCTTCTGTGTCACTGGCCAGTCGGAACAGCGTGGGCCGCATCCGCTCACAGCGCTGGTACAGTTCCTGGGGGTAGCAGGGTGGGCACGTCAGGGCCAAGAGGCTCTGGCATGGGCCGAGTGGGGAGGGGACAGTGCACCTTCATGAGGTCCTCGCTGCTGCTGGCCGCCGCACTGCCCTGGCTGTGGCTCATCACCATCTCCGTCAGCAGCTTCACATTATTGTTCACCTCCTCGATGGCATTCACCCGCTTCGAGATCTTCTCCATCCGCTTCTGGTCCTGGAAGGCCAAAGCACAGTGAGAGCTTGAATCAGGCACGGCCCACTCCAGGAGGCACGCAGGGTCTGGCTGTGACGCCGGTTCTGGGTGGGACTCGCTATGCCTAGGACCAGACATGCCAGTCTTGGAAGCCCTCTGCCAACCCCACTCACTTCTACCCCTGCTGCCAGTGCCCCCCGGGCCCAGCCTCTGCAGGAGCTCATTGAATCAGGGTGGACAGGAAGCTGCGTTTCCCGTGGTGCTTCTAAAGGGCCAAGCCCTGGACCCACAGCTAGGGCTAAGTGACTCCGGTTGTCCTGTGTCTGGTCCTTGAAAGGAAGGTTCCATGCTTGGCAGCAACAGGGGACTGCTGTGGTCACCAAGCACCACCCAGCAACAAGTGCAGCGTCACTCCCAGTGTCTGTGGGTGCCCAGCAAACATGGGCCTTTGAAGCTGGCTGCAGGAAGTGACCCACCCCCCGGTGGGTCCTCTCACTGGGCACGACCTCCCTCGCAGAGGGACAGGTGGGCACAAGCTCTGCTGCAGGCAGAATTGCCTTCTCTGGCAGGGCCCCAACTCAGCTGTCAGGGCACGTGGTGTGGTCCCTTCAAGACAACCCCGAACTTGTGCCCTCCAGCCCCTGGGCTCATCCTCCACAAATCCTGCACAGGAGACCCAGAGGGGCAACCGGCAGTTGGTCTAGGACCAAGCTGATGCCTGGCCCACCAGCCCAAGACTGAACTCGCTTCCTAGGAAGGACCAGCTAGCAACTTCTGTGGGGTCCACACTTCTTACCCAGATTTTAAAGAAAAGCATATCTGATGATCTAACTACTCTGGGCTGCAGCTGGGAGGCCCTGCTGCCTCCTGCCTCAGGGGTCTGCTTTGCAGCCCTTAACCTTTTAAAGTAAAGCATCAGTGCTGCTCTCATCTGTGCTACTGAGTACTACCCTGAAAACTTCTTTTTCTAGTACTTGGGATTGAAGGCAGGGGCACTCTACTGGTAGGCTGTACCCCAGCCCTATCTATCTACCTATCTATCTATCTATCGATCGATCGTCTATTTGAAACAGGGTCTCACTGTGTAGTCTAGGCTGGCTTTGAACTCACTATATAGTATAGGTTGGCCTCAAACTCTCAGTGATCCTCCCCTCAGCCTCCTGAGTGCTAGGATTAGAGATGTGCACCACCACACCTGGCTTGCAAACTTTTTTTTTTTGGCATCGGGGATCGAACTTGGGCCGTTGTGCTTGCAAGGCAGGCGGTAGAACCACTGAGCCAAAGCCCTGGTCCACTTGCAAACTTTTCAGTGACTTTCCCTTATCAATAAAATATTGAGAACTAGGACTTGTGGCACATGGCTGTAATCCCAGCCCTCCTGGAGGCTGGGGCAGAATAGCAAATTCAAGCCCAACCTGGGCAATTTAGCAACTGAGACCTTGCCTCAACATAAAAAATTGAAAAAAGGACTGGGATGTAGCTCAGTGTGAAGGCCTTGTGTTCAACCCTCTGTGCTGCTACAAAAACAAAAAGATTCAGTGTACACCCTCAACCTATATTTACTCGTACATTAAACACATGAAATTGTGTATTTATACACACATGCACTTATCTACATATTTTAAAACATATACTAAGGGCCAATTGATTTTTCTTTCACAGTGCTGGGGACAGAACCCAGGCCTTATCCATGCCATGCCAGTGATCTAGTGCTAAGCCATGCCCACCCACAGTTCCCTTCTATCATCAAGGAACAACCTGGGCCTCCCAGAAGCCCGTGCGGGGTGTTAGTTCAGGTGGCTAGGAAGCTGGTCCCCTACCGGCAGCCAGTTGTTTGCTGTGATGGCCCTGCAGGACCCTGGTCTGTGCACACGCCCTGCCCACCTCATCTCCTTCCTGTGCTCTGGGCCTTGCCTCACCTCCTGCACCATCTCCTTGATGAGCTTGTTGGCTGCACGGAGGTCCTCGGGATGGGAGCTCTTCAGCAGGCGCGCCAGCATCTGTGGGGACAGGTATGTGACTGTGAGGGCAGCATCAAGCTGGGGACCACAGGCCAGCACCCCAATTACCGGCCTCAGAAATTGGGCAAGTTGCTAAAGCTCTCTGGGAAGTGGCAGGGATTTACCAACACCTGGTGGCTGTCCTTATGGACAAAAGATGCTGTGAGCAAGAGCCTCGGGGAGGGGAGTCCTGTGTCACTGGCTTTGAGAACCTTCCCCCTTGTGGTCACCCTCTGGGGCCAGCAGGGCTGGGGAGAGGAGTCCACTTCCACCTCCTTGTTTAGTTCTTATAATCTAATCCATTATTATATAAAGACATGCAAACTCAGTGGGGCATGGTGGTGATTACGCCTGTAATCCCAGCACTCAGGAAGCTGAGGCAGGAGGATGGCCATGAGTTTGAGGTGATCTGCATAGTGAGTTCACTACATAGTGAGTTCAAGGCCAGTCTGAGCTACATAGCAAGACCCTGTCTCAAAAAAAGAAAAACAAAAAAACATGCAAACATTTCAAGCTAACCCAGGGACATCTCCTATGTGTATTAAATGCCGGGACAATGTATGGGACATACTCAATAAATGGTACCCGTCACCCGCTACGGGGATTGTGCTCTGTATGAGCCACTGCTCCAGGTGCCCGAGTGCCCAGTCCTCCCCACGACCTTACCTTGGACTTCTCTTCATCTTCAAAAATCACATTCTTGGGTCTTGGAGCGGGCTGGGGAAAGATGGCATCCTCTGGAAGCCTAGGGTCGGACTTCACGATGCCTGGTGTAGATAGGGTGAGGAAGGCAGTCAGTAGGTCCCTGGCCAGGGGCAGTGCAGAGACAGGGACACGTGAGGGTAGAAGGGAGTCCTTTCTCCAGCATGCTGGGCCCAGAGACCTGAGGGGCTGGGCCATTCTCTGAGATGCACATCAAACCATGTGGGGAGAACCTCTGAGTACCTGAATTTTGAGGCCACACGCAAGGGTGAAGCCTGACCCAAACCCAACTTTTGTCTACCCAAGCTGGCCTCAGTCACAGAACCCAAAGGCTCCACTGGCCGTATGTTCTGTAGAAGTTAAAGGCAGACCATGACCTCACTGGCCCAAAGCTCCTGAAGCTGCCGAAGCCCAGCAAGAAGGTACGGGGGCCTCACCCTGCTTCTTCAGCATCTGGTAGGCCTCTGCAATCTTCACCTCCTCAGGCAGGCCAACCGTCCAGCTGTAGAGCAGCTCTAAGATCTTGTTCTTTACCTTCTCTGACGTCCGGGAGCCCAGGTACTTCAGGGGAAGGAGAGGGACACTGTGACACTGCCTTACTTTGACAGCCCCAAGTCTAGCCCAACCCAGCTGACTCCCCTGGGAGCCCTTGGCCTCCAGTGTCCTCCATCTCTGCCCAAGCAGCCTGGGGTAACTGAGCACACCTAGCTCTGCCACCTATTGTCCACGTCAGCCCCTCGTGACTCAGTTTCCCCACTGGGGAGATGAAGAGCTGACCAGGGAAGGCCCAGAGCACAGCACTTTCCCACAGGCAGCTCATGGGCAACCTTGTGACCTTGAGGAGGAGCCAACAGCTTCCAACTGACTGTATATGGAAGGGGCAAGTGTGGAACTGGGGGCCTGGGCCCCACACACCATTGCCAGCAGCAAACTGGGCTGGAAGAGGCTCTCATTCTCCTGGGAAGGGAATGGGGCTGGGGGATCATTCAGCAGCTCTGGTCACAGAACGGGCTGAGAGGTGATGAGAGATGGATCTCAGCCCGGGCCACTGAGTGCATTTGTGTCCACAGGAGACCTCACACCGAAGGCCAGAGTGGGGTCTGGCCACCTGCCAGCTCAGGTTTGTGGCTTGGATGCCAAGGCCCAGGAAGGCCACTCCTGGGTGGTGAGGACCAAGAGATCTTGTGCCAGAGACCAAGGGGGATACTGTGGCCAGGTAAGTGGGAGTGATCTTGGAGCTGGGCAAGCCAAGCTCAGTGGCACCTGGCACCTCCCTCTGGTCCAGCAGGAAGGACTTTTCCTAGAGCCCCAGGTTGTCCCCAACCCAGCTGGGAAGGGGTCTATGAGAAAGCCTCTGTGTCTGCTGGGTTCAACCAAGTTCAAAGCATCCACGGGAAGGTCCCTGTGGGGTCTTCTACCACTGATCAACATCCCACAGCAGGTCTGACCGTAGGCCAGGGCACACACCTTGGGGGACACAACCTTGATGAGCTCGTTCAGGAAGCGGAATTTGCCAACCTCATCATGGAACCTCTTGCCGCAGCTCTTCATGCATGTTTCCAGCACCTGACAGGAAAGGGTGTGAGGGGCATAGGACGGATGGCAGGAAGCAGCGCACCCCGCCACCGGCCAGCCCAGGAAGGAACGACCCTGAGGACAAGGATGTGGAGATTCCCAGGGCCCCAGAACTGTTCATCAGCCCCTGGGGCACGGGGTCAGGGATGGAGAGTGACTGGCACTGCCCTCTCCACGGCCACATCTGAGCAGCCCCTGCACATTATCTTATTACTTTTCTCATTTAAAAACATTAGTTTATTGGGCCGGGGATTTAGCTCAGCGGTTCGGTGGCCTGCCTTGCAAGCACAAGGACCCAAGTTCAATCCCCGGTACCAAAAAAAAAAAAAAAAAAAAA